ATGTGGGTGATGTAGCTCAAGAAGGGGCGTTATACCATGGCTACGATGGATGAAGAGTATGAGTGTCCCATTTTAGATGAAGAAAAAGTGGTTGATGAGTTAGAGAACCACAGGGCAGAAGGTGGAGTTACTGTTGACTACCATGGTTGGGATTTCTTTCCTGAATGATGGCTTCATGCAGTTTTTGGGTTGAGAACAGATAACAGTATATTGCACAAAAAGACTTGAAACAAGGGGATATAATGAGAAGAAACTAGGAGACAAGATCGAGTGTGAGATTTTTCACGTTCTTTATGAAGAGGCCATGTTACCATACAAGGAAGACACTGTGCACCAGCTGCCCAGCAATATGCCTGAAGAGCGGGAGGACAACAGAAACCAGATCCTGAGATGGACTGAGCAGTGGGTCAAAGGTCACAACCCGGGCCTGGTCACCTGGTGGTGCCTCTTTGCCCACCGTGTAGACACGGGCTCCAAGTATCTGTAAAAACTAAAACTATGTGGAAGGCCCAGCAGGTATTTTATGCCTGCGTTTCTTTTTCTCCATGAGAAAGTTAAACGATCACAAATATAATGAATACAATTATTATTAAGCATTTAAAATACGCATCAGTTGCTAAACAATAAATCTGATCAAATGGGTAATAAAAAAAAGAGAGAGAGACTTAGAGGAGAATTGATCAGGCTTGTCTGATCAGTGACTATAGAAAGTCACAGTGGCCATTCCTCAAAATGGTCTCTAGGGAAGGAACGTTGAAATCTTAATTTTAAAGTTTAAACTGGGTTTGATGACGCACACCTGTCATCCCAGCACTCAGGAGGCTGAGGCAGGGAGATGGCCTTGCGCTGGAGGCCAGCCTGAACTACATAGCGAGGCCCTGTCTCAAAAATCAAAACAAAAAGAGGTCTGGGCATGGATTTAAATTGGAGCAGAACCATGAGCCAGATGAGCAGAAAGTGGGTCTAATGCTGAGGCCAGCAGTTTTACAGGACACTAAGAAAAGCCTTTGTTTCTGAAAGATGAACAGAAGAGGTACAATATTAGAAATAACTGTGCCTTCTCAATGACTGAAAGGTAGACAACTTAAATCAGGAAACTTCAACAATAAACTCAGGAGGGAGGAAAACGACCCACAAGTCAGGAAGTGAAGCTCCTGCAAAGCCCATTTGCTTCATGAGAGAGAAAAAGTATCCGCATGAGTCGGAGAAGTGGTCACCGGGTGATGCGACCTTCCCATCCCGCTTCCCAGCCAGCTGGCAAACACAGGTGTGACCCAGCCAGGTGAGTGCTGGATATTTCTTTTAGTGTACTGCAATAAAAGACACACTACCATGAACTCCCTCAAAATCCTCGCCATCACTTCGAACGCACTCATCCCACGGTCCTGGCCACTTCCTGCAGCAGCTCTGGAGTCCTCTTGCCTGAGAGTCTTTAGTTGCACTGTCCTGGCTGCCTCAATGACCTGAATCCATTCAAAATGTTCCCCTTCGTGGTTGTTTGGTGTTGGTGAGGAGCCAGCGTCACACGGTGCCAGATCCAGCGAATACAGCAGATGAGGACCAGCACCCTGCGTTACGAGCTGCCTTTCCATGGGACGGTGCTCAGGAGGGGCACCCACCGGATTTTTGATCAGGACAGAGGACTCGGGAGCTGCTGCAGAGTGGAAGGGCGAAGGGATGAGTGCCATGGCAGCCTCCTACTGCAGAGCACGTTTCGTGTAAGCCTTCGCCATGTACTGTGGTCACCTCGCAGGCAAATCCCCAACCCTTCTTTCTCAGAGATGGCTCAGAAATCAGGAAATTCTCAGTGTGCTGACCTGGGGTGGGACCAGGTCCCGCGACAGCGGATGACAGGGTCATCAGGAGGGCCTGTGGCAGCTTTAGTGCCCTATTTCCCTTCCATAAAGTAACTCAATGGAACTGGGTTGTGTCTGATAGCCTCAAAATGATAATGTTTTCATTCTTCTTTTTTTTTTTTGGTACCGGGGATCGAACTTGGGTCCTTCTGCTTGTGAGGCAGGCGGTGGAACCACTGAGCTAAATCCCCGGCCCAATGTTTTCATTCTTGATTACCTGGGAATAAAAATATAGAACCTGGATGTATGTGTGTGTGTGTGTATATGTGTGTGTGTGTGTGTGTAATTTTTTTTTTTAATGAGACAAAGTCTTGCCACATTTCCCAGGCTGGTCCCAAACTCCTTGATCCAAATGCTCCTCCTGCCCCATTCCCCCGAATTGCTGGGGCTATGGCACACACGGCAGCACCCCTCCTTCTCCTTTACATTAAGGTTAGTACCTCTCGGGGTTTGGCTTACTGGATGTCTTTGTCTGTCTCCCACCCAATTCTAAGTTTAACAGGACAGGGTTTTGTCTGCTTTCTCAGCAGCGTTTCCCCAGTTCCCAGAAGGCGGCCTCATATTTATTTGATGGGTATTGAGGAAAACTTTTCCAGTGAATTCACATCTTAACACCTGAAGGAGGGTGGGGCCACAGCCTGGCTGAGGCTTGGCCGGCATGTGCGGGGCCCTAGGATGAGCCCCACTGCCGTGAGAAAGGAAAGTAATCAATAATATAACACCTGAAAGAAGCTAAGAATAGCAATGAACAATAACGAAACAAATGCTAGACAAGAACTGAGACCCTGTGCTCTGCCAGGCCTTACACATATTATTTTTTAAGAATTCCTATTATTATCTATCATTATTTACTTTCCTCATTGCCAAATAAAGCAAGGCTTAAAGAGGTTAAATAATTTTCCCAGGAACACATCCCTGATAAATGTGCTAAAAATAAGCCCAAGCCTTGTTTACTTCTGAAAATAAGTCCTGGGCTGAGCAAATCCAACTGTAAAAACTGAAGGGAAGCTAAGATTTTTGAAAGGCATGAGGCGGGGGCTCCTTGGAGCTGCAGGAGAGTCTCTGGCCAAGCAGGGAGTGTTTACTTCCTCGTCTTCTTTTCTCTTTGGTGGTGTCTGAGACTTTTCCATAAAGTCTTACACTGGGATTCACTGGGGACATGAAGACGCCACCCTGCGTGCGTCCTCGGTTCTGGGCACAGCATGGGAAGGGAGTGGGGTGCCCAGTGCACCCCACACCATGAGCACCGGTGCACGGGCAGAGAGACTCTGCACGCGGAATTACCACAGTCTTTCCAGCCCCGAGGGGAAAGAGGAAGTCTACTTTCAGTGACAACGATGATGATGACGCTAAAAATATGAATGGGAGAGGAAAATGCTCATTCTGAGAGTCAGGTTCTCCTCCCTCACGGTGACTGCAGACCCCAGGCAGAGGCCGCCCTGGGGCCCATGACAGCCAGGGTAAGTTTGGCTGAGAACAGGATGAGGGTCCCCACCGGGTCAGGCCATGGCAGAGCAGGCACCCACAGCTTGGCATGGGACTGAAGGCCCGATCCGAGCCCGGAAGGCCAGGCAAGGAGCTGTCAGGCTGAAGGCAGGAAGACGGGGAATGTGGGCTTCAGAAGAGCAAGCGTCTACTGCTTCCTCCTCCCTACCCAACCTCTGATCCCTTTCCTACAACACCTGACCAAGTGGTTTCTAGTATAGGCAAAGGTATATGTAGTAGAATTCATTCCTGTCCATATCTTAAATATTTTCGAAAAAAGCCCATATTAAGTCAAGTGTAGCGGTGCACATTGTAATCTCAGCACTCTGGGAGGCTGAGCCAGGAGGATCGCAAGTTCAAGCCCAGTCTGGCATGCACTGACTGAGACCCCACCTCAAAATTTAGAAAAAGTGAGGTGGGGGCTGGTTATGGAGCTCAGAGGGAAGGGCTGGGTTCGATCTCCGGCAGCTAGGAGCAGCAGCCATCAGTTTCCTACTGTACGTACAGAGGCACAGCAATGAGGTGCTCTGAAGAAGAACCCAGATTTGCACCAGGTGTGAAGAAAGGTCCCTGACCTTCAGGGCGGGGTTAAGACCCTGACGTTTCCCTCTCGCGATACCGATACCGGGAAGTCTGGCATCAGAAACTCTCGCAGGGCTGATGGATCGCGCAGGCGCGGCTGCAATCTGCCTCTCCGCACCTCGGTTCTCGGGGATGCCTGGACCTGAAAGTGAACCCGAGACCCAGCAGCCGGCCAGCGGTGTGGACAGCCCACTCCTTCCCCCGCCTGTATCAACCCAGATGACGCGCGCGGCACATGCTGACAGAATACAGAGAAGCACTCTTTCACCTCCGTGGAAAAATAGCAACTTCGTAACGCAATTATCAGAGAATAAGAGTAGTTCGTGAATTCACTGTTCATTCCGTTACCTTAAAAGAACAGCCAAAATGTCACTCAGAGTACAAGTCACAGGCGAATCGCCTGTTTTACAGAGAAGAAGCAAACACCTCACAGCACAGAACCTTCCTTTCTGTGAACTCAGTGACACTGTCGTATACATGAAAAATGTGCATAGATGTGAAATGCTGAAACAGCAGAATAGAGGATTTGGGGAATTATGTGAACCTCTCCCTACTTCCTATTTAACTTCTATTTTGCTTTTTATTTGTATATGTATATATTCTGAGTTGTTTTGTACTTGGGTTTCTTTTTCTTTTTGAGACAGAGACTTGCTATGTGGTTAGTTCAGGCTGGCCTTGAACTCCCTGTGATCCTCCTGCCTCAGCCTCCGGAGAGCTGGGATAACAGGAGTGCACCCCTACACCCAGTACTGATACTTGTATTCTGAATGATTTTTATTTCTTTATAAAAATGAGCTGGGTGTGGTGGCACAGGCCTGTAATCCCAGCACTCAGGAGGCTGAGGCAGGATTGCCACCAGCATGGGCCACATGGTAAGTCCAAGGTCAGCCTGAACCACACAACAAAACCCTGCCTCAAAAAAAAAAAAAAAATGTGCAGACATGACAGACTGGGTAGAAGCCTCACGTGCATGGAAGTCCACACGCAACTCCAGGTGTTCACAGACCTTAGCCCCTGACAGCGCGGACCACGTGGGTATTGAGGGGTGACACGCAGCTCACTGGCTGTTGCTCTTACCCAACGCTGCGTCCTCACCGCCTGCCTCAGCTCATGTCCTGCTGGCGGTGGCCGGGCCCATCCCGCTTCCTCAGCCACTCAGCGGGGTGGGCGGAGCACCTGGCGGCCACGGCCCAGAGTCCCAGCCTGGAAGAGACAGAGGGACAGCAGTTACTCGGGCGGAGGGCAAGGGACACGCAGGGGCTGCAAAGTCATCCAGGCGGCAGGGCCGGGAGCTGGGAGCTTCTGCTATGCTGGGGCTGCTCACACGGTGGTGAGAGGCCCTTTCCCGCGGGGCCGCCCCTCCCCACACCCACCAGGGACCTGTCTAAGAGCACCCCTCATGCAGGCGCCGCTCTGGGTCCTCCCAGCTTGGTTGCAAACATCAATGAGGCTTGGGCACCACTGCCTGGCGACCTGTCTGCTCAATCTTGTGGTTCTCAGCCTGAGTTTGTGTGTTTGTGCACATCTGAGGCAGCGTCTTGCTATGCAGTTCAGGCCAGCCTTGAACTCACTATGTAGCCCAGGCTGGCCTCGAACTTGCAGTGATCCTCCTGCCTCAGCCTCCTGAGTGCTGGGATGACAGACGTGCGCCACCACGCCCGGGCTCTTGGCCTGAGTTTACCAGAACCAGCTTGGTCTGAAGCCGAGCCCCTAAACTGGGAGAGTCTGCCTGGTTAGGCTACAGTGAAACCTCGCTCTGCAGGCCCCCGAAAGATGAAGCTGGGATGGATAAGCCACGGAAGGAGACGCCTCAGGTTTGTTCAGTTTGCACCACAGCACGGCAACATGCCGAGCGCTGTGGGAAGGGTCAGGGACTGTGACGGGGTCCCCCGTGCCCCAGGGCCTTAGCCCGGACACTGGACACATTTGTGTAAGACCCTTGGAGGGCCGGGGATCTAGCTCAGTGGTGCCGCTGCCTGGCCACACAAGGTCCCAAGTTCCATCCCCGGTACCCAAAAAAAAAATCACTGGGGAAAACCTGAGCATGACTGGAATCCCAGCACTCTGGGAAGCTGAGGGAGGAAAATCACAAGTTTGAGCTCAGCTTGGGCAACTTAGTGACTCAGTGAGACCCTGTCTCAAAATAAAACACAAGCAAAGGCTGGGGACACAGCTCAGTGTGAAGGCCCTGGGTTCAATCCCCAGCAGGGAGACAAAAGGCGATCGTCGAGAACAGTGCAGCAGGGACTAAGATGCAGCCAAGGTGTTGTCAGACAGCGAATGCAGCGGCCAGTTGCCCACGCTGCGGATTAGGGGCTGTGATACCGGACTCGGAGTCCAGAGTGCGAGAAGCCACCCAAGCTCAGGTTCTCGGGCTTTCAGGGACTGATGGCTCTCAGCACACGCAGACCCGGGGCTGCTCCAGGCAGCACAGCCGCGTCCCCGGCCGTGACTTTCACCGCTCTCAACCTCTTCTCCAGATCCCACAGCAAGCCGGGCGGCACAGAGCGGCGCCTGCAACCACAGCACTTGGGAGCTAAAGCTTTGGCCGGCCTGGGGCTAAGGAGCCAGTTTGAGGCCAACCTGGACCACACGGCCAGACACCATCTCACAGCGCCAAGAAATGGAAGCAGCCACAGCCAGAAATGGGCGTTCAGGCTGAAACGTGCTGCTCCCTCGGAAGCCTGGCACCCCAGCCTCACGGGTTAGGGCCTTGGGTTTCTGAGACGCCATCCCTGGCATCACTTGGCATCCCACACACACACAGGGTCTCACCCACTGCCCAGGGCCGCTCTCAGCATCCAGCCTGAGTCTGGCCTGGCGGGTCATTCGCGCAGCGTGGTGTCTTAGACCCAGGCACGGTACAGGACACCCCAGCACTGCCTTCACCTCACGGCCGAACAGCAGTCCGTGTGTGTGCGTGACATCTTTGTATCCTTTCCCACGAGTGACACTGCAGCGAGGCAATCACTTCCCTTTTTGTGTGATCATTGGCCTTAGTCTTCCTGGAGTGAAATCCTAAGACAGGACTTTCTAGGCCGTATGGTAAATTGAGGAGTTGCTAATGATCTTACAAAGTGAAGGCACCATTTTCCACTCCCATCAGCAACGCAGTAGGTGCCAGGCGTGGTGGCACACACCTGTGATCCCAGCACTCGGGAGGCTGAGGCAGGAGGCAACTTCGCAGCGAGTGCTGTGAAGGGTTGTAAAGACTACTGCATGCAAACATCCCTGCAGAGTGGCCAGGGCGCGGAGCTTCCTCCTGCCCCTCCCAATGCACACAGTGGCCACAGTGAGGAGGAACCTGGCAGCCTTCGCACACCAAGGTCCATAGATAAAAACTAACCTGCACACACGGTCGTTCCTGGTCCACAGTCTAAAGAACTAACATGCTAAACACAGCCGAAATACGAAGCTGGAGCTAGAAACCACTTAGCATAGCTCTGCCCAGCACAGAGATTATTACCAACCCAACACGGGACCCGAGAGCTGTACACGCACATCCAGTTGGTGTGATGTGCAAATGACAAGGAATCCACATCACTTCCAGAAGCAAAAGGGGTCACGGGCATCCATTCAACCAAGACGGTGCCAGGACTGCCCCTGGCAGAGTGCATGTGCCCAGCACAGTCAATACAAGGAAATAATAAAACCAAGACGGGAAACCCACAGCACAAGAACACACGGCGTGGAGGTCAAGCAGAAAGGGCAAATACGAATTCCTGCATGGGGACCAAACACCTCCATGAGGCCCGGCCACTGCCTGGCTTGAGTCCTCTCTGGTCAGTGCCTCGGTGGTACCGGGTGTGCCCAGATCTAACTCTGGGAAGCCAGTGAGGGATGGGTTGTTTAGATCCACTGAGATAGAAACTGGTTTTGCTACAACAGAACTGCCATTCCTGACATACAGGCGTCTTGAGATTCACCTAGAAAGTCCATGAGGGGAGGAGGGGGAGAGGAGGGGGAGGGTTTACCGCTGGCCACCAGGTTCCCTGTCATTTCCTCTCCTCACGCTGAGGCTCCGGTGTTGGACTGCGTTGACACGGCAACTGCAGCACCACAAGCTGAATCTCACAGGTGCTCTCCCCAATTCCCACACTCAGGAGCAAACTAAGGTGGTGGCTGACTCTAATCCTGCAAGCTGCGTGGCCTTAAACTGGTCACTGAGGGAAACTGAGGACCACAGAAGCCTACACAGTGCTGAACCCTATTACCCTTGCTTTAACCCAGCTTGAAGGCTTCATGAATCTATGACAAACACACCGTCTGACTCCATGCAGATGGGGAAAATACACAGGAGTTGCTGCAGGAACAGATCAACGTGAAAACACCAGGAAGGTTACAGCAACAGATTTCAACTGACGTACGTACGCTTATGCTCAAACTTCCCTGGGAACACCCAGCCAGGCCTGGTGGCACACACCTTGGGATCCCTGCAAGTTCAAGGCCAACCTGGGCTACATGGTGAGACCCTGTCTCGAACTAAACCAAAAAGGCTCCCTGAAATGTAGCTGAGAGTCTCATTACTGAGGCCAAGCAAACTTTCACAGCACACATGCTATTCCTTTCCATCTGATAACTCCGGACTACGAAGAGAAAGGAATCCACCAGTTCTGGGGCTGATATACACAGAGCTGCTGCTGGTCCACGTGAACAGCTGCAAATTAAGGACCAGTCAGCAGGTCAAACACTGCTTCCGGCCCGCACTGTTAGCCTACATATTCAAAAATGGAGCTCATTTCTCCTCTTTTCCAAATAAGTATTAGGGTGACAGTGACTCTGCCTTCCAATTTCCAAACAGGTGGGAGGCAGCGGCACGAATCTCGACTGCCGGGTATGGAATGAGTCACAGCCAGAGAGCGGCTTCCCGTCAGGGCACCGCCAAGGTCTGAAGGGACTACATGGGTCTCATGGGGATGCACAGCAGAGGATCTCGGAGAAAGTCTCGACACGGGAGGGGGCCCCAGGCAGAAGTTTCTACCACACGTAGAACTTCGGAGGCCTGGCCTACTCCTGTTTCTAAAATACAGCACTGCTGCAAATAGCAGGATTTCTTAATTCTAAAAATGTAAATGAGGAAATTTCATCAAATTTTATTTCTAATAAAAAGGCAAAGAAAAAGAATTTATTGAACCAGGGATTTAGCTCAGTGGTGCTGCGCCTGCCTTGCAAGCCCAAGGTTCTGAGTTTCAAACCCCGCCCCGGTACCAAAAAAAAAAAAAAAAAAAGAAAAAGATTTCAGCCCGGTGTGGTGGTGCACACCTGCTGCAATCCCAGCCGGCACTCGGGAGGCTGAGGCAGGAGGAGGGAGTGTTTGAGGGCAGCTGGGTTATATAGTGAGATCTTATTTTTAAAGAAACAAAAAGAAAAAAATCAAAAACAAGAAGGGAAGGAAGGAAAGGGAAGGGAGATGAAAGAGAGAGAAAACAAAGGGAGAAAGAAAGGGTTCAAAATATAAGGATATTCTGGAGCTATATTTAGCTGTACTGTTTTTTGTGGGGGGTTTTTGGTACCAGGGATCGAACTCAGACCCTTTCGCTTGCACAGCAGGCAGCAAAACCACTGAGCTAAATCCCCGGCCCCTGTCTAGCTGTATTGTTAAAAACAAATTACTCACCAGGGATGTGGTTCAGTGGTACCTGCCTGGCAAGCGCAAGGCCCTGAGTTTGATCCCTGATACCAGAAAAAAAAATTATAAATTTTTCAAATGAAGTATCATTAACATGACATAAAATACTTTTTAAAGGGAAATTTATTTATTTAATTTATCTATTTTTGAGACAAGGCCTCCCTATGTAGCCCAGGCTGGCCTCAAACTCACAGCGATCCTCCTGCCTCAGCCTCCCCAGTGTTAGGATTACAGGCGTGAGCCACCAGGACCAGCTGACATAAAATATTTTTATCAAAAAAAGTTTTTTCTCTGGAGACAGGGTTTTGCTATGTAGTCCAGGCTGACCTTGAACTTGCAGCAATCCTCCTGCCTCAGCCTCCTGAGTGCTGGAATTACAGGTGTGCATCACCACGCCCAGCTTTAAACTGGATTTTCTTGTTTCAAAATTTCCTGGAAAAGAGGTATAGTTATTGCTACTTAAAAACTGAGTTCTTGGGAATGTTCGAGAAATAGTGGCATAAGTAAAAATAAAAATCAGTGCCCAGTGTGGAGGGCGCCGCGTGGATCCCAGGGTGCTGCAGTCTCCTGTGGG